AATAAAACTGCTATTGTTTTAAGCTACTAATTTGTAGGGTGGTTTGTTATGTTGAAACATTCCCTTTGTGCAATTACTAATTCCCTCCAAAGGTAACTTGACTTTTATCTCCATTGACCCCAAAGGTAACTTAACTTTTATCTCCATTGACTTTATTATAAATGGAATAACATAGTACATACTTTTTGTTTATATGAAAATGTCTTTATTTTACCTTGATCCTTGAAGGAAAATTTTGCTGGATATAGAATTCTGGCTTGGCAGTTATTTTTTTTAGCACTTTCAAGATGTTGTTCCACTCTCTTTTGACCTCCATTGTTTCTGATGAAAAATCTGCAGTTTTTCATGTAATTTTTCCCTTGTACATAATGTGCTATTTTACTCTAGCAACTTTCAATATTTTCTCTTTATCTTTCGGTTTTCGTAGTTTGATTTTAATATGGTTAGTTGCAGTTTTCTTTGTATTTATTCTGTTTGTGGTTCACTGAGTTTCCTGAATTTATAAATTCATGTCTTTGATCAGAATTGGGAAACTTTCAATCATTATTTCATCAAATATTTCTCCTTCCCCATTCTCTCTCTCCTTTCCTCCAATTACACATATTTTGACCCTTTGACATTGTCCCATAGGTTACAGAAGCACTGTTCATTCTGTTTCAATTTTTTTTCTCTCTCTTCCTCAGACTTGATAATTTCTATAGATCTATATTCAAGTTTACTGGCTCTTCTGTCATCTCAAAACTGCTGAAAGAGCATCTAGTGAGTTTTTTATTTTAGAAGGCACAGGGTGATTACTTAGTTTGCGCAAGGTCATATAGATAATAAATATCTTTTTTTCCCCTTTACTTACAATATTATCTTTGCAAATAAATGTGTTTTCTTTCTTACTAGGCTTGCTAGGCATTTCACAGGCAGAAATTTTACCCAACCTAGCAGCTCTGTAGGATACTTTCACCTATAAATATGCATTTTGTTTTCCTTTGTAGTTCTGATATTGCATTAAATTTTGCATTTTCTTTGTTCCTGGATAGATATAGGAATAAAAATAAGGGTGGAGCCAAAGATTGAGACCTAGATGAAAGTACAATTATGTATGCTATTCCTATATCCTGAGACAAGTACTTTGTAGCATTAAATCAAAGAAAAATAGTGATTTTTGTATTTGATTACAGTTTTAACATAAGTTCAAAGTAAATAAAAATTTGAAACAAAAAAAGAAATTATATTTTTTAGTTCTAGAATTTCCATTTTTTAAAGTTTCTATTTCTCTGCTGAGATGTTCTAATTGTTCATTCACATGAGCAAATTTTCCTTTACATCTTATAGTTAAAATAATTTCTTTAAAATTTTTGTCTGCTAATTCCAACACCAGGACCATTTCAGAGTTGGTCTTTATTGGTTGCTTTTGTTATTCATTATGCATGTTTCTTTGTATATCTTGTAATTTTAGATTGTATCCTGAATGTGACGTTGTAGAGCAAGGGTCAGCAAATTACAGCCAGTGAGCTGGTCATCTATTTTTGTAAATAAAGTTTTAGTGGAATGCAGCCATTTGTTTATGTATTGTCTATGGATACTTTTGCATTATAATGGCACAGTTGAGTAGTTGCAACAGATACCACATGACCTGCAAGTTTAGACTATTTAATCTCTGGCCCTTTAAGAAAAAGTTTACTGACCTCTGTTGTAGAGACCAGTCAATTATGTTTCTAGGAAGAGGACTGATTGATTTTTTTTTTTTAAAGTAGGCAGTTAAACGTGGCTAGACTCAAATTCTAAACTGTGTGTCCCAGAAATGGACAACAACAGAAATCTCCATTCAGTTCTTTTAGCCTTTGCTGGGCTGCTAGAAAACTATCCTGCATATGTGCAATTCATGGGTCATTCAGATATTTGAGTAGGGTGTTTATGCAGAATTTAAGACTACCTTTCTATGATTCTCTCCTCTCTGAAATTTCTTTGCTCATTTTCTTCCTGATGTGGTCACCCCAAACTCTTTATCTGCTCTTCAAGTCAGTAAGACTGTATGTTTTCCATTAAGTTTTACGCACGCCACCTGGTGCCAGTTTGGGCCTGCCATAGAGAAAAACGCCACAAAAATAGGCAACTTACTCAAGACCATTCCCTTCCTTCAATTATAGACTCCCCTTCAGTTTCTGCCTGATTTTCATTGTTCTCTAGTGTTTCCAGGTAGTTGCTTTTATAGAACTTTGTCCAGAGATAGACCTGTTACCCGAGGAAGGATTGTCTGATAGGAGCTATTCCTACTCTAAGTTGGAAGTCAGTATTCACTCTTTTGGGTCTGACTTTGCCCAACATTATGTTTGTTATATTCATTCATATTGTTGAGTATAGTGGTAATTCATCCATTCTCTTTTCATTATGTATTTCACTGTATTAATATAATATTCCATTTTACTGTTTATGGACATTTGGATTGTTTCTAATTATTTTGGTCATTACAAATAGTACTACTATATTTTTAATAAGAAAAGACTAGAAATAACTAAGATGTATATCAGAAGAGGAGCAGTAAAATAAACTATTGTGCACCAATAAAATGGAATATTATGTAGTCATTAAAATATGGAATACTCTCCAAGATATATTAAGTGAAAAAGCAAGGTGTGGAACAGTATAAATAGCTGACTTCCAATAGAAGCACTGGTTGACTCTGGGAAAGGAAACTGAATAGACAGAGAACAGGATTAGGAGGGAGAGTTTCATACCATGTGAATATATGACACATTGAAAACAAATTTATTTACAAATTTATAGAAAACACACATAAATATATTGTGTTTATCTTCCCATGTTAATAAAAAAACTTTTATGACTAAATCAATTTCCACTTTATGGATATATTAATAAATTCTCTATGGTTGAACATTTAGACTAGAACGAATAAGACCTATGTTATGTGAAGTAATACAGAGAGATTTCTAGGATATATTACAAAATGAAAAAAGCAAAGCACAAAAGAGTATCAATAGCGTGCCACCTTTCAAATAAAAAAGAAAAGGAAATAAGAAAATAGTCATGTATCTGCTCATTTGGGCATAAAGAAATAGGGGAATGAAACGTCTATCAACTGATGAACGGATAAATAAAATGTGGTATATTCACATATAGTGGGTTGAAGAGTGTCCCCCCAAAACTCATTCTGGAACCTCAGAATGTAACCTTACTTGGAAATAAAGTCTTTGCAGATGTAATTAGTTAAGAGTGTCCTTATAATAAGAGGTGAGGACACAGAGAGATACACACAGGGAAGAAGGCCACGTGAAGATGGAGGCAGAGATTGAAGTGATAGAGCTATAAGCCAAAGAATGTCAAGGACTGATTGCCAGGAGCCACGAGAAGCTGGAAAGATGCAAAGATGGAGTCTTCGCTATAGTCTTCAGAGAGAACATGGTCCTGCTGATATCTTTATAGAGCAATAACGCAATATATGTCACTATCTGGAGACTTCTAGCCTCTAGAACTGTGAGAGAATAAGTATCTGTTTTTTTAAGACACTCAGTTTGTGATAATTTGTTACAGCAGCCCTAGAAAACTAATATACCATGCAATGGAATATTATATGGCAGTGAAAAGAAACGAAGTACTGATACATGCTATAACGTGGATAAACCTTGAAAATATTATACTAAATGAAAGAAGCTCGATACAAAAGACCACATATTGTAAGATTACATTTATATGGAATTTCCAGAATAGGTATATACATAGAGACAGATTAGTGGTTTCAAAGGGCTGGAAGAGGGTGGAGGAACTGAGGAGAGACAGTTTCTTTTGGGGTGATGAAAATGTTCTAAAATTGATTGTGGTGATGGGTGCACAACTCTGTGAATATCCCCAAAAAACTGAATTATACATTTTAAATGAGTAAATTGTATGGTATGTGAATTATATCTCAATAAAGCTGTTAGGAAAACAAAGATAAAATATAGTACGGATAAATCATAAACTAATGGGTTCAGTTGCCTACAAGAAGTGGGTTGAAAAAGGAAGGAAGAATGAGAAAATGGGATTGGGGAAGGAAGATTGAGGGGACAGTGATACTTCAGTGAGTACATCTTTGTGAATAGATACCATGGTATCCATCGAACCATGGTGACTTTCTATTTACCATAAAAAAAGTTAAGTAGGATATGGGGGGAACTCTGTGATGTTGGATTGGAATAGACAAAATCAGTATAAACTCATATTTTAAAAATATATACACAGATAGATATAGAAATTGACGTGGAGGTGTGTATACATTCATATATTTCCTAATCCTATACAGAGAGAAGCCCAGAAGCAAAGACAATCTAGTTTCAATGAGAACAGCTAATGCCACTAAAAGGATCCAAGGCTTCTTGGAGAAATGGTTGACTCCATGGCTAGAGCAGAGAAGGTAGAAAACGAACTTGGAGCATCTTGTGCTAGAATATAAGAATGTCAAAAAATGATAGAAGCGTGTTGAGAGGGCACAAGGGCCAACTTGAAGGCACCTTCCAAAGGCCAAATCTAGAACAATCTGAGCAACAAATAATAATAGTAATGAATTTTAATCCACAGAGCAATCTATGAGTCCATACTGATATAAATAAGTAAAAGAATAAACAAATGGGGAGAAAAGAAAGCTCTTCTTGATATAGAATTCCAATTAATAAATGTAGAGGAATAATAAAAAATAGAAAATCATTATCTGGCTAACACCACAGTAATAATTATTACTGATTAATCAATGGATATTAAAATTAGAGGTTAAAAAAGTATGATGAGAGCAAAAAAAAAAAAAGAAAAAGATTACAGACATAATTTCAAAGTATCTCCCCCACAAAATGTTTATTAAGAAGGGAAAAACACTAACTTTACAACAGAGAAATGTGAGAGGCACCACCTTAACCAAGTGATCTAAGTTAACATCACCACTAACGAGGCAAATTGGCATCATATACCTCCTGATATGATGCACTGAGAACAGCATAATATTATTTCTGTGGTATTCTTGCCTAAAATGCATAATCTGAATTTCATCATGAGAAAAGATTAGTCAAACCCAAATTGAGAGACATTCTACAAAATAACTGGGCAGTACTCTTCAAAAGTGTCAGTTACAAAAGACAAAGGAAAGACTGAGAACTACGCCCAACTGTGAGAGAATAAGAGGAACTAACTACTAACTCAATGTAGGATCCTGGTTTGTATCCTAGACCAGAAAAAGAACATTAGTGAGATAATTGGCAACATCTGTACAAGGTCTATAGCTTTATTAATAGTATTATATCAATATTAATTTCCTGGTTTTGATAATTGTACTGTGGTTACATAAAATGTTAATGTTAAGAAAAGCTGGGTGAAGGATATATGGAAAATCTCTACTATTTTTGCAACCTCATTACTGCAAAATGAGAAGTTAAAAAAATTAAAAATTTAACACCAGTGCTGCTATGAACATCCTTGTGTCTAAATCTTTGTGCACATGCTAAATTATTCCATAGGATTAATTCCTATAAGTAAAGATACAGAATCAAAGGACATGCATATTTTAAGGCTTTTGATATGTATTCTCAAGGCATCAACCAGGAAAGCTGTACAAAATTTCTCCCACCAGTAGTGGGTCTCAGTTATTTCTCAAATTTCCAAGATGTACCAGACGATCTCTACGGTCATGTTTAGCTCGTATTTGCACCAAAATCTCACTTATATTCCACAAATCAGTTTATATGTCACTTTTAAAATATACTGTTGCCCTGATCACTAAAGTCAACTCACGCTTGCATTATTTATATAGTACATTTTTTGGTAAAATTCACATAATCCTTTCTCTATACTTTTTTTAATGTATATCTCACCTGCTTTATGTAAGTATAAGCTCTTTGAAGTAAGGGCCACATACCTTCGTTTCCAATATTACTCCAGCACAGTATGTTACATACAGCAAGTGATTCAATTTAGCCTTGCAGTAGCTAAACAAGTTGCAACTTGCTTCCTGTCACAGACATGTTCAGATACCTTATCTGCTGACATTTTAAGGTCCTACTTTTGCTTGCGTGAGCTCCTTCCTCATTTTGCCCAGCTTATGTCTTTCCCAGGTCTTTATAGTTCAGGCTGCACTTGCAGAGGTGGGTACCAACTCTAAGCCAGTCCGAATAAGGGCAGAATACAAATAAAAAGTAGGGCATGGAATTAACTTAGACATCCAGATGTAAGCTGCGATGGCCCAACTGTGACTCCAAAGCTTTTGTTCTACCTTAATAAACTGTCTTCTCCACTAACCAATCCTGGGAACTGCACTGAGCTTCAATCGAGATTCCCTATCCTCAGCCCTGAGTGATTGTCCTTCCTAACATTCCAGTCTCCACCTTTTAAAATCAGCCTGCTCTAACTCCAAGGTGTTTGTTAGGTATTTTAGTGCTTGCCAGCTCCTGGGAACCTTTCTATTCAGAAGACCAATACAGCTTTTATATAAGAATAGACCTCTCTGAATGACCCTGATTGCCTCCTGAGAAAGAGATTTTTCCGTTTTTCCGCTATCACTCCTAGCTCACATAATATCTTGGTGTGTTTATACTAGAATTGCTGAGGCTTTTGTACCCCCTCAGAGACTATACTGATACTTAGGCAAAGCCAGATTTGCTACCAACCCCTGTATCCAGAATATCTTATCTCAACATCCGCCTCACCTGGGTTAAGGTTTTTTCAGCCCTGCTAGCTCTTCTTTCCGGACTTGCTCATTTAACTGAATCACTATGCCTCTTTCCCAGACCGTTAATTTAACTTACTATAATCTAACTTATCACAGCTTTGGCTTGTAAACTATAGAAACAGCACACGAAGTCAACACCCAGAACCTTTTTGGTTGGCATGATTCATCTGGTGAAAAATTATCACCCAAATAGTATCTATTTAATGTTTCTATTTTCCTCTGTCATGTAAAATTCAGAGTAACTGGAGGGAAAAAGCTAGCTATGCTTTGAGGCTGAATTGAGACCAAGAAATACATAGTTACACATGGAAAGCTGAGTTGCAAAGAGATCCCAGACTAAATGTCAGTACTGTCAATGGTGACAAATATTTCTATGCTCTATAGATAAGCTTACAAGTGGCATGCTGGGTTGGGCATGCTTGCTATCACGTGTCAAAGAAACCTAATGATCCCCATTATGATCCACTTCTTATGCTGACACACCAACAAGCAGGTTTCTAAAAGTTTAGTGCAGCAAACTGTTCAGTTAAGGTAAAAAAAAAAAAAAAAAGCAAAAAAATATAATAAAAATTTCTCTTTCTCTCTTTCTAAAACTGTTCTTTGTACTTACAAAACACTCAATAAAACAAATGTGAATATGGATATCCTTTAGCAATGTAAAGATAGAAATTGATAAACCTGAGGCCATTTCAAAAGAAGGCTTTTTTGCTTATCCTTTGTGTCAAATTCTCAAAGTAGTTAGAGCCCAGGCTCTTAAAAAGCTTAAATCTATAGGGATCTGCTATAAGGGCTTAAGATCTAAATGCTTTAACAGATGCCAGAATACCTGACTGCAAAACTACTGTTTATTTGATCATAACAAATAGCACTGTGGATCTTTCACAGAAATCATGCTGCAATTGCTAATTTATGGTAGAAATAAAATGTTAATCCTACTGCAAGACACAGAAAGTCAAGGCCATGGTTTACTTTCTAGGACTCATGGGCATATTCAGATTAACCAGCAGTTTAGACAGAAATATGAACCTTGCTAGGGATCCATATAATTGTTCCAGGGAGCTAGACCCTTTTGTCTGGGCCTCTATCCACTGTTCCTTATCCAATCTTCCTTAAGACCTAGATACTGTCTAGATTTTTAAACAACACCTAAAAAGTCAATTAAAAACAGTTCTTTCATTAAAATGAAAGTCACAAAAGGAACAGTGTTCTATAGAAAATACAATCACAAAGATTTATCCGAAAATGTTTTAAAAAATCCACTTTGAATCACAGATTATAAACACATTATACATTTTATAAATGTAGACTCTTTAGTGAAGACATATTCCTACTGCTCTAAATTTTAGGTGACTCTACCATTTAGTTCTTAACCCCTAAACCAGGAATAATCTCCTGGAAATGGAGATATTTCTCTAATGTTACCTGCTGTTTCTATGTGGATTTAAAAGCGGGGTGAATATAGTTTATTTTATTTTCAACTTCTATTTCTAACTTCCAGTATTTATTATCAAAATTTCTATAATTTTATTAATAGCTACAGTATCTCCTAATTTTGTATAAACTGCAAATTTTATTAATGGGTTACTTACTCTTTTTCTTTAATTTAAGGGAAAAAAATGCTTTATAAGAGCCAGTCCAGCAGCAATTTTTTAAGAAGGCACTTTAATATAAACTTTCTCCATGACTGAATTCATTAGCTTTTTGCATTAGTCTTTGTTTATCATCTTTAAACCAAGCCAATCTTTATTAATTTTCTAAGGCATTTTCCCTAGTGCTTTTACCACAATTTAGATTTAGCTCTTTTTCTCTACAATTTTTCTAACCCTACCAAATTTGTCTCACTCTAACCCTATGGGATTGTTCACCACTAATATTTTTTAAAGGGATTATTGCAGCTTTTATTCTTTGGCATTTAATTGAAAAAAAGAAAAAGATCTTCATCTTTAGTTCTTGTTGATTCCCCTGAAACAGAGCTTTATAAACAAATAGAAGTGTAGTTCCTTTCCTTTATGGAATTATGATAAACTGACCCCAAAATATTTCTCAGCCCAAATGATCTCTTCCTTCTTTTTATGTACTTTAACCACTTAATCATGTACTGCCCAGCGTAGCATTCAAAGGCCTATCACAACTTACCATGTCATGCTTACCCACACCTCTCCCCAATATCTGATGTCCTCTGTGATACATCATACTCTTTAAGGCCTCTTGGCCTTTTGATTTTATTATCCCGTTAACTTACGTTACTCTGTAACCTCAACTTGCCAAAATTATAAGTATTCTTCGAAGGCTAGTTCAAACATCACCTCCTTTGTGAAACTTTCCCCAACTTCTTATTTTTTCTGTTCTCCTACAAAAATTAGTTCGTAAGTCATATACCACTTCTTATATTGTATTAGTGGATTATGTCTCTCCTAGATTTCAAGAAAAAGAGTTTTTGTGCTATTTATCTTTATAGCCACAATTCTTGACACATAGTAGGCACTCAATAAAACCATACTGATTTGAATTCATTTGTACTGTTACTGTACTATCTATTGATGTCTTGTTTCTCCAATTTGTCTTGCTTGAGGTTAGAGATTCTCAGACTTCTTTAAGTTCTGTATTAACTGGCACATTCTTAGCACATGATCAAGAATCTTTGAGTTGGAAGAAATGTTAGAAATAACACAGCCCATAACCTCAACCAGTGCGAGAATTCATTTTACCAAATACCTTTGTTTAACTATCTATAATGATTAGCAAGCCCATATGGATTAGTTTGCCCAGGATAGTCCTGGTATATTTAAAAGCACCGCTTTCACTTTCAAAAGTATCTGGGTTTGATGATAAGTTTCATGGTCATCCTAATAATGAAAAACTGCTTACTTCCTCACAAGTACTGGACAGCTGAGCAGCCATAATTATTACACCTTTTGAATTCTGAACCATGTGAATGTATTGCCTATTCACAAAACATTTTTTAAGAAGTTCCCCTTCTTAATAGGTGGGTAGGGGGTGGAGTTCTAGGAATAAGGAAATAATTAGGAATATAGGCAAGATTTATTATGATAAATAAATCGAATAGACAGCTAAGTGCAAAATTATTAATTTGACAAAAAATTAGGACTTTTTTTGAGACTTTAGGTTGTTTATCAAAACCAGAAAAGCTCTAAACATAAGAACTTAAAATAGCTTAATAAAAGCAGGGAAAAGCTAAATAAACTTACGGGCTAAGAGTAAACAAAGCGGGGAAAATCCTCAGGAATGCTGGCTTCTATTGGGCTACTTTAAAAAAACAATGAATCAAAAATGATGTGAGCTTCTAAATAAGATTAATTAGGATGAACTGTCTTGGCTAAGGCTTAAAACGAGTAAGATAGTTAAGTCTTCATTTAAGTCCAGTTTTTAATATTCAATGTGCAACCACTTTATTCTTTTTAATGGAGGAAAATTTTAGCTGTTCAGTTATTTGAATCACACATTTCTGCTACACCTCCAAAGATTTTTATCTGAGCCAAAAACTTGCATGTAGTGTTTCAGCCAAAATAAAATTTCACCGCCAAGTTGTAATCCTCTAAAAAATGAATTTTAGAGTCTAATTGAATTTCAGAAGAATCACTCACTGGGTACAAACAATAATTACTCTGAAAAACATTCGGTAATATACCTCTTAGATAAATATCTATTTGTATTATATTTTCAAGAGCTTTCAATTATAGAAATTGATTATTTGGAGTTTTAAAAGAAGATGGATATATTCTCTAAGAACTATTTGAGCTAATGTGTATATATATCTATAAATGTAGCTATCATCTAGATATCCATTCACATACACAAAATACATTTATAAGATATGTATACATGCCTTCACATCAGAATGTTTTTCAGCCCTAACAAATTCTAACTAAAGAGAAGTCTTAGAATTGGAGATTATTTGGCAGAACCTCTGAGAAACACAGTTAACAAAGTATGGACTAGATCATATATGGGCACTTTCTTGGGTCAAGGGGCCTCTGGATTTTTCCTACAAGGAGATTTATCCTACTAAAGTCTATTGGTATTGATCTTATGGTTAACTGTAACTAGGAAGCAGACAGTAATCCTTTAAATATACATTCTGAGATACACTGTAAGCCAGGGTTTTTCCAACTTTGGCACTATTGATATTTTGGGCCAGATAATTCTTTGTTGTGGGTGGCTGTCCTGTGCATTATAGGATGTATAATGGCATCTCTGGCATCTCCATCCACTAGATGCCAGTGGAATTCCCCCACCCTCCACTGCCCACCCAGTTGTGACAATCAAAAGTGAGGGGAGGGCCAGCCCCGTGGCTTAGCGGTTGAGTGCGCACGCTCCGCTGCTGGCGGCCCGGGTTCAGATCCCGGGCACGCACCGATGCATCGCTTCTCTGGCCATGCTGAGGCCGCGTCCCACACACAGCAACTAGAAGGATGTGCAGCTATGACATACAACTATCTACTGGGGCTTTGGGGGAAAAAATAAATAAATAAAAGTTTAAAAAAAAAAAAAAGTGAGGGGAAAAATTGCTCCTGGTTGAGACCCACTGCTACAAATAAATGAGGCAATGTGGTATAGAACAGATTAGACTAGACTGGGATTCAAGAGGCTGGGTTCTAATCCAGCTGTTTTTGTCTATAATTTTGGGATCTTGGGGAAATTACCTAATCCAGCAGTACTCAAAGTGGGTTATGGAGGGTAGTATTGCTAAATCAGCCAAGAACCTTATATAAGAAATAGATGAGCCCACTTAACTTTCTTGGGCCATATATTTTCTCTTCTATAATAAAAAAATATTGACTAGGGACTTTAATTTAGGCTCTAATGCCATAGCTGGTAACAAACCAACTCCTATACCATAAACAGCTAGAAAAGCTGCAAAAATAAAAAAAATTTTAAAAATAAATGAAGGTCTGAGAGAGTTGCCAAGGTAGCCAAGACTTGATGGGGACAAGATTTTGGAGAGAAGAGAACTCTAAAAAGCTAGGCTGACATTCTAAAAGTTGATTTTCCCCTTGGGGTATACGCAAATTCTTGGTGCTGGGTGACAGGTTGAGAATTTAGGCAATGGGCTATTACTAAGAGGCAGAGAAGCCAACAGAGCTTTTGGCAATCTCCATGGCTGGTAAGACAAAAATTGGAGTTTGGGCTTGAAGGCAGTCAGAATTGAGGTGTCATGATCCTAAAGAGAAGAGGAACACAGTGGAGTAAGTCTGACACCTGGGGGTTTTCTCCTTTGAGGTATTTGTCAAATTTGTAAGGTAGTAGGACAAGAGGCCAAGACACTAAGCAGAGGACCTCTAAAAGGCAGAATAGTGTGTTTGGCAGTTGTATGGTGCCAAAGAGAACCCACCAAAGAGTAGGGACCCTAGTAAATACCCTAGGATTTTGGGTGAGATTTCAGGAGAGCTATAGCACAGAAGTGGGAGCAAATCAGAAGTAGATTGAGTCTTACAAAAACTGCAACCCAACCTTGAGTTGGCTCAGTCTTTGATCTAGCTTTACTCTAGCTGCCTTCTAATGGAAGACAATATCACCAATAGAAATGGCATAATTTATTATGCACAATGTTTAGCATATAATGAAAAATTATCAGGTAAATCAAGAAATAAGCCCAAAGAAAAGAAGACAAAAGAAACAGACCCACGGATGACTGAGATATAGTTTTTGGAAGTGCAATTTATTATTACCGTGATTAACATGTTCAAAAAAATAAACGACAAGGTAGAGGATTAAACTATAGAACTGGGATTAATGAAAAAATAATCAAATAATTTGGAAAATAAAATACGTGATTACTGAAATAAAGAACTCAATAGGGGCTGGCCCAGTGGCACAGTGGTAGCTCATGCACTCTGCTTAGGCGGCCCTGGGTTTGTGGGTTTGGATCCCGGGCATGGACCTACACACCACTCATCAAGCCATGCTGTGACAGCATCCCACATACAAAATAGAGGAAGATTGGCACAGATGTTAGCTCAGAGACAATCTTCCTCAAGCAAAAAGAAGATCGGCAGTGGATGTTAGCTCAGGGCCAATCTTCCCCCTCCCCCGCCCCCCCCAAAAAAGAGAACTCAATAGATGTGTTGAAGTGCAGACTGGACGAAGCAGAAGAGAAAGGATTAGTGAACTGAAAGCCAGGTCAGTGCAAAATATACAGGCTAAAGCTTGAGGAGGACAAAGGATGAAAAATACAAAAAAGAGCATAAAACACATACAGGATATAATAAGAGGACCTAAGATATGTGTAATTGGTGTCCCAATTGGAAAGAGAGGGAGGCAGTATCTAAAGAGATAATGGCTGAGAATTTTCCAAAACTGATAAGAGTCATCAGCCATAGATTCAGAAGCACTAAAAACTGCAGCAGGATAAATACAAGGAAAATCAGAACCAAGTAGAAAGTTAAAGTCAAAGAAAAATTTTAAAAGGAGAGAGAGAAAATGGACATATTATATTCAAAGGAGCAAGAATAAGACTAATAGCTAACTTCTCAACAAAAATAAGAGAATCCAAAAGATAATGGAAAGTCATCTTTAAAGAGCTCAAAGAATATACCTCCCAGTGTAGCGTTCTATACTCATTGAAAGGCAAAATAAAACACTTGCAAACAAACAAAAACCAAGAGAATTCACACACTGAGTGAAAGACTAAAGGAAGCTGTTTAGGCAGAAGAAAAACTACAAAATAATTCATAGTTATTGAAATGAAAACATGAAAACGCAGGAACAAAAGAAGAACAATGGAAACAGTAAATTCAACTGCATAAAATAATAATATTTTGTCAATACAAGGCATTGAAACATACATCAATTAAGGTAATTGACAACAATAATACAAAAGGTTGGAAGGCTCAAATGGAACTGAAATGTTCTAAAATCCTACCATTGTATGAGAAGTGGCAAAAGTTACAATTTACATTTGACTTAAATATGTCAAGGATACATTTTGTAACTTTTAGGGCAAACATTAAAAGGATACACAACTGACAAGCTAATAGAGAAGGAAATGAGAATAAAAAATATTGGAACAATCCAAAAGAAGCAGGAAAGTAGAGAAAAAAGAAGATAAACATGTGAGACAAAGAGAACAAAAAGAGTAAGATGTAAGATACAAATTCAATTATATTAATATAAGTAGACTCCAATTAAAAGATAAAGACTGTCAGAATGAATTAAAAAAACCCAAAAACTGTATGCCAATTACGAATTTAAGGACATACAAAGGTTGAAGGTAAAGGGATGGAAAAAACTATACCACGCAAACACTAACCAACAGAAAGCTGGCATAGTTATACTAATAATAGATAGAATAGATATTGAGGCAAGAAGCATCATGAGAGGTAAAGAAGGATATTTTAAAATGATAAAAGGTTCAATCCATTAGCAAATATAAGAATTCTAAACTTATAACAAGTTATAAGATAGCTTCAAAATATTTAAAGCAAAATGTGACAGAACCAAAGGAAAAATATACAAATTTCAATCATAGTAGGACACTTCAATAAATCTCTCTCAATAACCTATAAAGCAGGCAGACAAAAACTAAACAAGAGTATAAATGATCTGGACAACAAACTTAACAAACTTGACCTAACTGCATATACAAAGAGCATATTTAAGAACGTCAGCATATACATTCTTTTCAAATGCACAAAGAACATGTATAAAATTGACCATATGGTGGGCAATAAGACATAATTTCAACAAATTCTGAAGAACTAAAATCATTCAGCATATATGACCACAATGGAATTAAACCAAAAATCACAAACAAAAGATCATTAGAAAATCTCCATATATTGGTAAATTAAGCAAAACTTTCTAAATAACCTATAGATTAAAGATGAAATCACAATGGAAATTATAAAAATATTTTGAACTGAAAATAATGAAAAAAGACATCTCAAAATTTGTAAATTAAACAGAAAATAGAAGAAAGAAAACAGTAAATAGAAATTTTAAAAATAAAAAACAAACATATAATACAGGAAAGCAACAAAGGCAGAGTTGGTTCTTTATAACACTAATAAAATTGATAAACCTTGTCGTGGCTATAAAAATGTGCCTCAGATCTGCCACGTGGACCATAACTGACTGATGGCCCCAGCTGTGCTCTGAATCGACCAATGTATTCGTGCAAGGCCACGCTTCCTATGTGCATGGGACTGAGCACAGCAAGAATACTATGGAGATCTATTCCTGACAGATGTGGGACTCATTTTGGCAACTTTGGCTTGAGGACTCCCCATTGGCCTTGTCAAAACTTAACTGTATTGCAATCCAAGCCTCTTTCAGCCCAATCTTCCTTCCTTCCCTCTCACCAACACAGGGGTCAGACCTGCATCACAATTTGACAGGTCTCCCTGACTCCTCTGATTCCCACCCTATTTTCCCTCACAGGTATTTCCATCAGTAAATCTCATGAATGTCTAACTTCATCTTGGCATCTACTTTTTGGAAAATCCAAACTAAAATAAACCTCTAGGAACAGTGATCAAGGAAAAGAGAAAGAGCACAAATTTAATTCTCAGATCAGGAAATTTAAAAAGGAATATCACTATAGATTCTACAATAATTAGGAAAATGAGAGAATATCATGAATAATCTTATGCTAATAAATCTGAATATTTAGATGAAATAGACGAATTCCTAGAAAAATACAACTTACCAAAAATGGCATAGAAAGAAATAGAAAAAACTGAACATTCCTATTCAATTAAAGAAGCTGAATCTGTAATAAAAAACCATGGTATAAAGTATTCTCTAGACCCAGATATTTTGATAGGTGAGCTCTTTCAAATATTTACATAAAAATAACATCAATCTTATAAAATTCTTCCAGAACAGAAAAAGGCACTTTCCAATTCACTTTACAAGGTCATCATAATGTTCCTACCCAAACTAACAAGGATGCTACAAGAAAGGAAAATTGCGAGACAAACTCTCTCAGGAACAACACTACAAAAATCTGAAACAAAAGATCATCAGATCAAATCCAATGATATATTCAAATAATATCATGATGATTTTGGAATTATTCCAAGAATGCAAAAGTGGTTTATCATTCCAAAAATCAAGTTGTAACTCACATATTAAAAGAAAAAGGGGGAGAAAATCATATAATAATCTTAATAGATGCAGAAAAGTTATTTGATAAAATTCAACATCCTTTCATGATTAAAAAGAAACCTTAACACAACAAAACTTTTAGTAAACTTTTAATAAAAGGAAATTTCCTTAATCTGATAAAGAATATCTGCAAAGAGTGTATAGCAAACATTATCCTTTTTGATGAAATATTGAAGGTTTGACACCTGAGACTGGAAATGAGACAAAGACGCTCACTATAACCATTTCAATTGTATTCCTATTCAATGTGCTTTACTGCGTTAGTTAGTTCAGTAAGAAAGAAAAAACATAAGTACAAAAGATTTGAAAAGAAGAAATGAAACTGTCATTATTCACAGATATTATTATATACAAAGAAAATTCAAAAGAACCAACAGATACATTATTATACTTAATAAGTGAAAACAAGGTCATTAAGAAAAAATCTATATAACACTAAAAAATAGAAACTGAAATCTGAAAGGATGCCATTTAAAAATGGATAGCATCAAAAAACAAACAACTAGGAATCTTACAAAAGATATACTTACAAGACCATTACCCTGAAAACAACAAACATTTTGAGAAAAATTAAAGACCACCTAAATTAATAGAGGGAAATACTCTATAGATTGGAAGACATAATATTGTAAAGATGTCCGTTCTCTCCAAATTGATTACAAACTCAATATAATCTGAATAAAAATTCTACTAAGGATTAAAAAAAATTTTTTGGGGGGGGTGACAAGCTGATTCTAGAATTTACGTAGAAATGCAAAGGGGCCAAGAAAAGCCGGGACAATCTTGAACACAGTTGGAAGACTGATGTTACCAGATATAAAGACTAATTATAAACTAAGTAATTAAGAGAGCGTAAACTGGTACAAGGATAGACAAAGAGAACAGTGGAATACAACAGATAGGCTAAAAAAGACTCACAGATATAGATTCTGAAATGTGACAAAGGTATCAATTTAGTGCAGTGAGGGAAAGAATGTTCCTTTTAATGAATGATGATGGGTCAACTGGTTATTCATATGGGCAAAATAAATAAATCACGCCTTCTATCCCACACTACATATAAAAATTAATTCTAATTCTAGATGGACTACGGATCCAGATAAAAAAAGTAAAAAATAAAAGTTTTAGGAAAAAAGAACAGGAAAATATCTTTATGAGCATGGGCTATGCAAAGATTTTCTTTAAAAGAACATGAAAAGCACTACGCAGAAGGGAAAAACATTATAAATTGGACTACATTAAAATTAAGAGCTTTTATTTATCAAAAGATACCACGAAGAGAGTGAAAAGGCAAGCCATAGAGTGGTAGAAGATATTTGCAATACATTTATCTAACGAAAGACTTGTATGCAGACTGTAAAAAGAATTATAAGTCAATCAGACAACCTACTACGGGCAAAAGACTTCAACAAGAACTTGACACACACAAAAAATGAAAATGCTAATAAGCAGATGAGAAGGTGGCCCATCTCATCACAAGAGGAAAATTCCAATTAAAATCACAATGAGATACTAGTATATACTAACCAGAATGGCTAAAATTTAAAAGATGGATAGTAGCAATTGCTGGTGAGGATGTGGAAAAACAAGAGTCATTCTACATGTTGCTGGTGGGACAATACATTGGTACCATCACTCTGGAAAACTGGAACTAAAAAATGGAACTCTTCTGTATCACAACTATGGTGGTGGTTACATGATCTTATGCATTTTTCAAAACACACAGAACTTAACAATATAAAGGGTGAATTTTACTTATTAAAAAATTCAACCCACATCTGAAAGGAAACCAAAATGGAATACAAACTATAACAAATGAACCTAACTGTATTGCAAATGAATAATGTAACCACACTGAAGTGGACGGAATACAAGAACTAACCTAAGTTACTTTGGATAACAGTATTTTGACTAGACACCACAGGGCTAAAGACAAAAAGAACTGTAAACAAACACTGTGCTTTAGTAAGTAAATACGTTTCTCACAAGGGTATGGGTACACAATTCAAAACTACTTTAGGATGGAACAAAGAAGTAAATATATTTTAGATAACGAGAGCCAGAAGTTTCAATGTCAGAGGAAGAAGTTATAAATAAGGAAAGGGCAAAGGCTAGAATGAACTCTGTGTTGTTGGACTGGAATCAAAGGTATCAATTTGAGCTCACGGAATTTAAATATATAAACAGATAGATATAGAAATAAATATACATGGGTGTGTATGCATAGGTTATTATATATACATATATTGCCAATCTATTTGCTAAGAGGGCCTGGAAGCAATGATACTCAAGTAGCAGTAAGTGTATCTAGCACCCAGAACTGGGTTTCTAAAAAGCATTTGCCAATAAAAGGAAGTGAAGTTACTTGAAGTGGTTGGTTCCAGGACTGAGGCAGGGAAAATACAAGGGCCTAGAGCATCCTATGTTGTCAAATAGTAAGGTAGTGCGCAAAAAGGGATGGGGACAGGGTCAGATAAAAAGTCTATAGACTGGGTAATTCTGTCTCAAAAAGAGGCAAAACTATTGGTAGCAGTAGAAGCCAAAATAACGGTTACCTTCGGTGGCGGTAATGATTAGGAGGGGAGCAGAAGGGGTGCCTTCTAAAGTGCTAGAAGTGTTCTATTTCTTGATTTGGTGGTAGTGAGACAGGTATGTTCACTTAATGAAAAGTTGTGCCAATTCTGTATGTATACTAAACTTTAAAACAAACTATACAAGATATTCTATATTTTGATTATGGTAGCTGTTACATGTTATTTAATAAAATATATGTGCATTTTACTATATGTAAGCTATACCTCAATAAATCTGACCTAAAGGTCCTTCTAGAAATAAATACTATAATATGGCTAACATTTTTGCCTAGCGCAGGCTGTCTCCTATTTTGCTTTCTAGCTTTGATAGAAAGGTGGGAGTTGAAAGAAGTCTCATTTCTTGACAGGCCAGAGATCACTAAAGCATATAAACCATGCCCCCAAGACACTACTTTGTCAGGAAGGTGACAGTTCCACATAAGTTATTCTAAATTATTTTTGACCGGTTGGGTAATTAAAGGGACTTTGTGTTTTGTGGTTACAAAAATCTAAAAATGGAACATGAGCTAATAACTTAGTTGTTTATATTCATAGTTGAGAAATATATATTTTTAAAAATATCATCTGGTAACAACTTTTTTCTATGAATGTTATACACAGACATTCTGAAAGAATGCTACCTAATTTGTTCTATCCACATCATCACCAGCCTATGCCAACAAGATCATCATTTAAAATTGGTTTGGCTGTAGTAGAGATAACATTTTCAAAAGGATTTATAATAATATTTTGTAGCAGTAGGAGTTGTGATGATATGCTGACATTATTCTTCAGCTGCTGAGATTGTTTTCCTTTAGAGTTTGCATTTTCTATTGCATACTTTCTGTGCTTTATGCCCACCAGAATTGCAAATCGTATCAACCTTTTCTTATAGAGTAATGGACAGCATTGAGTGTTTTCAAAAAACATGAAAACTTAACTAGCAAAAGGGGTGACAAGTTTCTTTAAGGACTCAGGAACATGAAGACAAGTAACTTTAATAACCCCATTTACTTAGAAATTGACAAAGGGCACTATGATGAGACTATTTTAAATTATAAGCTCCTAAAAGGCAGGAGACTATTTAAAGTAATATGTAGATTGCTTGTAAGAGTGGATGAGTCCTTGATAGTTTCTGATTGATCGAGAAAGAGAAGCATTCACCAAGGCCTGACTTATTGAAGTCCTAGATGGTTAGTTGCTAAAAGGTTCTGTTTCCATCATTCCACAGGATTATAGGATGTCAGGTAACATTATCAAATCATCTAATCCAATGGTTCTCCAAGTGAGAAGTGGAGGTTAGACAGCATTGCTCTATCACCTAAAGGAGTTTTTTCAACAAATACACAACCCTACACTCCCCTTCCCCCAGACTCCACCACTCCCATTCTCATACATCTTCTTGAGGATGTATATGCTAATACTCTTCACAGGGATGTTATCAGATTGAGCGAAGGTGCTTTTATGAAGGCAGGGCTGTATTTACCAAAAGCTCACTAGGTGATTCTGATATGATAGCAGTAACCTTCCAGTTGAAAATGTCTGACCTAATCTATTTTTTCCCTTTGGGCAAAATTACAATTCAAACAGCCCAGAAAGAATTCTGAAAGTATTTAGAAAAGTCTACAATTTATTCTTCAGGGGACATGTTTCATTGTCTCATAAGAGCCACTGTGTGAAATGCATTATTTTTAATTTAGAACAAAAGTCCTGTTGCTTTTTCCAACTTTTAGTGACATACTTAGTACAGAAACTCGGAGAAATTTAAACTTTCTATAAAGACATATAGGTATATATGTGTATGTATGTATATATTTAAAATATTTATTTTTTTACTATAATCCTTAATATAATAAGGTGTTAATATATGAAGACCTCATTAGTAGCTGCTGTCCAGGAGGTAATAAAATCTATAGTCTTAGTTGTTCTAAAGTTTATAGACACAGAAATTATTTCCTTGACCTGACTCTCATGCTACCTAACAGGTTCATTCAACATTTATTAAAAGGATCAAAATGGACAGAATCATCTTTTCCTTCCCTACCTTATTCCCAGCCTCTTACTCTCACCACTTTCCAGTGTCGTGTCCCCTCCCTGCCCCGACCCCTCTGCAAATCTTGGAACTCAATTAGTGTGCAAGCAATGAAACAATGATTGATATGTGACAAAACTTATGGGCTGGATGGATACTCAGTCTGAAAGAGAGGTGGCCAAAAAAAACAGGGTAAGTGGAAAAGACTTCAGATTCACAGGCAATTTAGAGAAGAGGAATTCAAAGAATTACATTTATAAAATAAGAGAAAGTGGTTTATAGACACCATATCTCAAAAGGAGAAAGGTCTCTAGAATTAAATACCAAGGAAACTGATTTTGTTACATTATTGTTAAATGCCATACACTTAGCAGTGATCATTTAAAAATACTTTATAGTGTGAGGTTTAAGGAACAATGATTCCTAATTAGTGTTTTAATAACTGTGTTAGTGCTGCCTTGTGCCATTCTGGAACATCACTTATGGTAAATTAAGGGACACTTTCCCTTTCCATCTTCTATTAGTATTTTAATGCTAGGAGGTGGGAAAAAGCTGATCCATATTCAAGAGGAAAGGAGGAAAAACAACAACAAATTGGCATCTCTTCTGTGAATTGCCCCACAGGCCAAGCATTTTTATGTTCTTAATCATTATTAAATGACTTAACATGACACCCAGAGTCTGGCGAATGATTGCATCCTGACATGAGAAGGAATTACAAATGAAATGAAAGATCAAGCCGTATTAGAGGATTGCCTCTGGGAAATGAAAATCTTTAATTCTCTTTTATTATTGACATTTATTTGGCTGCCATGAATAACAACATAGCAAAGAGATTCAGCTATGCTTGTGCACTGAATAGCTTATCCCAGGGCTCAAAACTGCATTAACATTTATCATGTTTGCTTTTGTAGCTGACACCACTGAACAGATTCTCTATCCATCTTGTATTTATCATGCATTGCAGATATAGCGCATCCTCTAATTTAAGTTCATTTTCATGTAGCAGGAATAGCAAAGATTAGCCAGTGTCTTTGCTCAAATAAATTCCTGCTGGTAAGCATTCCTAAGAATGGTTTAATAGATTTAATAAAGAACAAAATGAGTTGAAAAGGAAATTCTGCCATAGGAAGGGGAGGCTAATTTAAAAGGTTTAAATTTGGGAAAATTGTGCAAATTCACAATGAGGAAGACACTTGTATAATATATCTATCTAGAATATACAATGCCTTGAAATAAATGTCTCCATAAAGAGCAACCAAATAGCATTTTATGAATCTGAAGGCAGTACTACAGTGCCTATAAGATAAGAAGTCGGTATGTTCTTCACTTTTCCAAACAGTATTCATTGCTAAGACAGGAACAGGCCATATACTACAGGAAGACAGCAATTCAGATAGTTATTACCAATGTAGAGATACCTTTTCATAACTTATTTCTTCTCTCTCGTACAAATTAACAACACAGCTTTCCTGTCACAACAATAAAAGATTATATAGTACCTGGTATCTTTGCTCACATGATCCTCTTTGACTGGACTGCTCTCCTTTCTTTAAATCCTTCCTAGAATTCAAGGCTTAGCAAGGATATCAAAGTATCTTGGGAAAACCACTTAATATCTCTGAATCTTGTTTGAAATTTCGTTTTTACTTTTCTTTCTTTCCGTTTTTTATACTTTGAATTATGGAACATTTTAAACATACACAAGTGGAGGTAACAGCATAATGACCACCCCTCATATGTCCATCACTCAGCTTCCACAATTATTAACTCATGCTGAATCTCATTTCATCTATAACCCCACTTCACTATTTGCCACTCACTGAATTATTCTGAAACAAACATTTTTTGAAGTAAATCTCTGAATCAGGCTTCTCACCATTCTAAAATAAGAAAGTTGGAATGAATTAATTCTAGATTCCCTTCTCCCCAAAATTTGACAATAGTTTCTTCTTTGGCCCTTTTCAGGCTTATATATTTAATTCAGCAAAAATTTTCTTCATATTCACTATAACATCTTTCTTCAAGGTTTATTGATCTCTTTCTCTGAATCAATACAACCCATATAATCTGTAGCAATAATTAAGAAGTAAAATTATACTTCCTTTTATTCATATTTTGATGTGTATTAATTTTATTTCCTAGTTAGATCTTTAAGGCTCATATCTTAAATTTCAGTGCTCAGCAGAGTAATGAACCACCACAAAGGTAATAATTGCTACTGTTTATAATAATTTTTAATTAACTGATTGGTTTTAATCTTAATGGTTCAGACCAAATTAAAAGGTTTACATTTTGGCTTTAACACTAGGTATCATCATCTTGACAATATTAATCATTTTAATCAATAAAATGTTTGTTTACTAGATGAAATTCTTATTCTATTTCTATGAGTGCTATAATATAGATGGGTGAGTAAAAACAGAAGTGAGGTTTTCTTCTTGAAGTTTAAAACTGAAGAATGAACTTATTTCTTGTTCATAATTGGATAAATTTATTTTATTCGAGTATAGGTATTTGGTGAGTAAAATATCTTGTTTTTTTTTCCCAAGGAAAGACATTTCTAGACTGACACAATATGTCCAAAATGTTAAAATAAATAAACTAAATCAAAGTGGATTTACTCAAATGAATTTTAATAAATTATCTTCTTGAAAATAAATTTTTTCTACTGAGATAGAAGGTAGGTTTATTTATTAAAATGAACAATCCTAAAATTTGTATGAAACCACTAAAGACCCCAAATAACGAAAGCAATCTTGAGAAAGAAGAATCAGGCTGGAAGCATCACATTTCCCAATTTCAAACTATATTACAAAAATATAGTAGTCAAAACAATATGATACTGGCATAAAAACAGACAGACACATAGATCAATGGAATAGAATAGAGAGCCCAGAAATAAACCCATGCATATGTGGTTAATTAATTTATGACAAAGGAGCCAAGAATATACAATGAGGAAAGGATAGTCTCTTCAATAAATGGTGCTGGGAAGACCGGACAGCCACATAAAAAAAAATGAAAGTGGACTTCTATCTTACAACACACACAAAAATCATCTTTAAGTGGATGAAAGATTTGAATGTAAGACCTGAAA